TAAAACAGAAGAGTAACATTATTAATTTCATATTAAACATCACTCACCTCATATCTATGTAAGGATAAACTATTATCTACATATATTTTATGCATTCATGACATACCTAACTTCTTAATTTTTTCACTAGTTCTTTCCTACCTGGTTTGTTGGCAAGTTTTTTTTTAATTGTTGCTCATCTTATAAAAATTTTCCAATATTCTTATTAAAAACAATTGTGTATAAGTGGACTTGTGTGGTTCAAATCCGTGTTGTTCAAGGGTCAGCTGTACTGTAACGTGGAACAAGGAGCAGGGAAAAGGAGTTACTGCAGCTGAATAAAGACTACAGATCTGATGACGGCAGGTAGCCAGAGCAAATGAAGTTTTTTGCTGTCAAAGACAGAGTTTGTTGTTGTGGTTGTTGTTTTTCCCTGAAGTACCCTGTAGACTTGCGGTTTCCACATTCCCCTTGTTTCCCTCGGATCCTAAGTGTGCACGGTTGCACTGTGTGTGCTTGGTGGATGCACTGAGGGCAGAGAACCCCACAGTGGTATTACTTCTCTGTTGGGCTAGTTAGCCTCCCTTGCTGCAGTGATGGCTTTGCACAGTGATCTTTGAACTTGGTCACATCATTAATAAAACTGTTTAATCTCTCTCCTCTAATCGACTTCCGGACATCTTTGTCTTGGCTCTGACCTTTCATAGCTATCACCCTAGTGGAGGCTATTTGTGCATTCTCTGTCTTCAGAGTCCACTGGGCTTTTGTCCACAGCCTAGGCCAAGGGTAGGTAAATTTAGTGAGTTCAAATAAGGCAGATTTATTTTATTAGTTTTGTAGTTCAGAAATCTGATGTGGTTCTCTCCAGACTAAAATCAGTTTGTAGGCTGTGGGAGAGAACCTGTTTCCTTGGTTTTTGGGGTTGTTGGCAGGAACTGCACACTTCTTGTGGTTGTAGGTCTGAGATCCTGTTTTCTTGCTGGCTTATCGCTGAGGGCTGTTCTCAGGGTTTAGAGACTGCCACATTCCTGGGTGCGTGGCCCTCTTCCTCTTTTTCCAAAGCTAACAGCGGGTGGAGTCCTCATCCTCTAAGAAGTTCACTGCTCTTAAGGACTCACACGATTAGATGGGAGCCACCTGGACAGTGCAGAATAATCCCCATCTTAAGAGTCATTGCAGAGTCCCTTCCGTTGTGTAAGGTGACATTTACAGGTTCAGGGGGTTAGGACGCTGACACTGGTGGTAGAGGTGTGGGGTCATTATCCTTCACTCACACCGCTGAATTTCTCGTTCTGTTTTCCCTTTATACGTCCTCCACCTAGTTCTCTACAGAACAGCCAAAGTCAGCTGACCAAAGTCAGAACTTGTCTTTTCTGTGCTGCCCTACCAATAACTTCCTGGCCTGCTTAAAATAAAATCCACAGTCCTCCTCATGGCCTGTGCAGCCCTACCTGATCCAGCCTTCTTCAGGCCTCTGTTCAGATGCCGCCTCCTCAGAGAGACTTTTCTTAACTCACATACAGTAGTAGTTTCTGCCAAAAGCTTAGCTTGTTTTGTTTTCCTCCTCTTAACTATTTCTTGACATTATTACAGATCTCTTTGTTTCTTGTCTCACTCTTTAGAATGAGAGCAAGAGCTGTTTGTTCACTGTTCTGTCTTCAGTGTCTAGAACACTGTCTGGTGCATAGTAGATTGCTCTGTTTGTTGAGTCATTGAGCGATTTTTTTCCATTCAGCTGTGATCTGATTCCTACTCTCCTGACACACTGAACTGTGAACTTACGAGTTATTCAGGCGCATTCATTAGTGCTGCCAGTGCTTTGCACATGTTCCTTTTTCTTTCTCTTATATCCTTTCCTCTGCCTCTTTCCCTTTTCCCTTGTGGTCCTTTGTATCTAACCTCAAAATCTAGCTTACATCCTACCTTCTTAGTAAGTCTTTTTCAGAATTCCCAGAGTTAGTTTCTTCTCTACGGTAACATTGTTTTGTTTACATTCATATTCCTTTAACTTTCTGTTTTTATATGACTCCTCAATTAGACTTTGTGGTTATGTGGAGTATACTCCCTATTTAAAGTCTAATTTCAAAATGTGAATAGTAACTTCACGCTTCTAAAATAAGAATAAAAATATTTGTAATGGAAAGAAAGCCTCACTCCCATTTCTGTTCCCAGCTCTTGCTGTCAAACCCTTTCTTTCTTGTGTATCTTTTGTGAACTTTTTTACACAAATATAAGCAAATGCTTTCCATATTCGTACGTACTTTTTGTACATTTTTATAGTAGCAGAGCATTCCATGAATTTTTATCATTTAACTGGCCCCCAACTGATGGATGCCTGTTTGTTTCTGTCCTTTTGGTTTTATGAACAGTGCGGCGGTCAGCAGTTTTTATTTCATATGTGAGCAGGTATATCCTTTGAATAAATTCCCAGAAGTGGGGCTTCTGGGTTAATGTAAAGCATCTGTTACCTTCTTTATCTTGAAAAACTCCATACTTGGCAAATGAAGACGCTTATTAAATGTCCAGACTGCCCAAATACTCAGGCTGCCTGAATGTAGACAGTTACTGTATCATCAGCAGATAATGTGTATGTTCTCAATTCTCAAATCCTTTTTCCCTCAGGATCATGGGCTTATATTATAGGCCAGTCAGCTCATTTTTGGATTTTCAGTACCATTTGAATGCAAACCTTAGACAGGTTCATTTTTGAATTCCATATTTATACTTTTTCTTCTCTTACACTGTGGAATTTCAAGCAGAATATTTATTAATCCCATGTCTGACATGTTGTGAATATTCTCATTTAGCCAGAACAGAAGTTGGAATCCATTATGTTCTCTTCATGCCCCATGTTTGTACCTGAATATCTCCATCACCTCTGGTCAGGGTGATTTTGAGGACATTATGTTGTAAATGAGAGATTCTGTGAGAAAGTGTTATGCCTAAGTAGAAACTAAGGTAAACACTCATTGTTTATTCTTCTAATTTAATTTTAAAAATCTTACTATTTGACATTTCATTATACGTAGAGAAAATTTTGATTTGTTACTATATTATTTTATTTTGGCTTAAAAATTTGTTGATTCTGGAATAAACCTCCCCAAAGTTCTCTAGCACAGATTCTTAAAATGGTAATGATTACTCATAATTCTTGCCATAGCAATGAATGTGTTGGAAATTGAAGAATGGCTTGAAGCTGGCATGCTATGATGTATTTATGGTACAGTCATGGTAGATAGTATTTTGAAGGCAACTTGTAAGGCATGGTATGTTTAACATAACAAAGGTGATGAGCTCTTGGGTAGAGAGAAAAATCTTCTGTGGGGAGTCTCCTTTAGAGTTTGACTTCGTAATTCATTATACTTGGAGGTAGTCATGTTATATTGCATGCAAAGCCATGTTATTATGGATCCTCTATACTAGCTTCCTGAGAAAATAGCAAAGGACTCAAAAGCAAACTGGCATCTGTGATATTTTCAAGATTTAACTTTCTAGAGAACCTGTCGGCGTCAGTATCTATCTTTCCCTTTGTCATCTACCATCTTTGTAATACCGGTAACTTACTGTCACGGTATCTAGTTGTCCGAATCATCTGTGAAGTTATTTTATTCAGTAAATAACTAAAACACTGGGGAGGGTTAATATACTTTAGAGCTTCATTCCAGATGACTAAACTTTTTCTTTTTTTTTAAAACAATACCTTGTTGCTAAAAGAGAAATTACAGGTACCTAGTTAGTTCATTTATGTGGAAAAGCTTAACCATTTTGGCAAGTCATCATTATTGTACTTAATTGTAATGTCCTCCACCATTTTTATTATGATATTTATTCTTAATAATATTTTAGAAGAGCTAACCTTTATAAGGAAAAATAGTTCTGTGTATGTATTTGTTTTTAAAAAGTTAATTTATGTTGTTACTGTAAGCCCGAATGTGTGAAGAATATTTCCTTTGAATGAAAGGTTAGCAATAAGAAAATTCAATGTGACTCACATGCTCCCTTATTTTTCAGCCTTTAAGGTATTACTTGAAAACACCAAGTGTATTTAAAAATTTTTATAAGCCTTAGTAAATACTTTTTCCTTAGATGATTTTTTTTTCCTGTGGTTTAAGAGAATCTCAATTATTTTAAGTTGTGAGAAGCCTATAAGTGAGTGCTTATTACTCAGAAAATGTTCTGTTTGAGAATAAAGTAATTTAAAGAAATCAGAAGCAGAAGTTAATTTATTTCCCAGAAACTTTATATTGGTTCAAGCTTCCCCAGTTACTGTGGACCCTATCTAATTATCATAATTTTATTTATGTGCATGACATTAAATTTACATAAACTGGAAGGTTGAAAATATGACAAACTTTTAAGTACTAGAGAGGAAAAAGCAGATTGAGTATGAAAAGCAAGTAATTTGCAAAGTCAGCTTACATCAGGGAAGTCTAGGGGTAAAATGTTAACAGAAGACACCTTTGATAACATGAAGAGGTGGCATGAAAGAAAAATACCACTTAAAAGAGATTCTACTTGTACTTCCTAAATTGCCACTCATTGTCTCTGTGTGACGGTTCTGTGTGATTCTTCCACTCCACAGTTGTGTTTATATTATTTTATGGACTTCTTTAGGTTAATATACTTTTAGGTTAATATATTTGTGATTGCCATGTAGAATTAGATTGAGGACATTTTAGAGAAGGTGTTTGTGTATTTTTTGTGAATGCCTTCATTTTGAAGGTTGGGAATGTGTGTGGTTCTGGCAGTTCATCTGCCCCAATATTCATGGGATTGTTAAAAAAAATTCAAATTTGTATCTTGACAGATGTTCCTGAGCTCATTTGGAGCTGACTTGAATATAGAGCAAAAGTTGCTAAATAGATGTTAACTTGCACTAGAAATGTAGAATTTGCACCTCTGAGGAACTACGGGAATTTTTTTTAATTGGAAGTGGGGTAATTGATTTGAAATCTACAGAATCTTTTTAAGGTCTATTAAATATTTAAGGTCATTTTACTAACTTAGGAACATAAAAGTGTATGTTGCATGTGGATTTGTTTTCTTAGAAAACTGAGTAAGCTACCATATTAAGATTTACCCTATTTGAGAGGTAGTTCAAAAGAACCTGATAAAAGCAAATGTCACTGTTTCTAGGAGACTTAGTGACTTCTGCATTATCAAGCCAATAGAGAAAAAACTCATTTCAGAAGAGTGTTGGAGAGTGGTAGGAGAGAGATTTCCTTCTCTTTAAAGAAGCTCTTCTCAAAATACAGCATTGGCATGTGTGAGTTTTGTTATATGGAACCTTTGTTTATTCAGCCATTTTCAGGGAAAGCTATCGGTTATTTTTGGAAAAAATAAGCTCTACTTTTGCTTAAAAAAATCTGAGCAAATAGGGTGACTATACCCAAAATTAATATATTGTAGATAAGTGGAATAACTCCCAATAAGACAATTGTTTTTGGCTCTTTAACATTGATTTCACTGAGCAGCCTTCTTTGCTTTAATTTTGTTTTAAACAATACTCGGAAAACATTTTTTATTTATGTTCAAAAAAGGTGTTTTTCACAAGTGGAATGATGACTTTAAAAACTTTCTTATGATCAGATGATCTTTGGCTTGTGTCCCTTATTTGGTATTTTGAAATGAATTTTGATGTAGATTGGCTAATAACAGAGGTTTTGTAATCTGTATTCAAGGTGGACCACGTGACTTTGATGACTTGATATCTCAGAACAGTTTGCGCATGTGTAACATTATTTATTAACTCGTGATTAGTAGGCATGTAAGAGAAAAGATTTAAATTTTATTCTATTTTGAAGAAGACAAAATCTTTAAAAAATCTTAATCTTTTTTTTTTCTTTCTTTGATGATTTTTAATTTCTTTTTATTTTTTTGTTGTTCTGCTAGGGTGACATACCTTCTGTTGAATACCTCTTGCAAAATGGAAGTGACCCAAATGTTAAAGACCATGCTGGATGGACACCACTGGTAGTTTTCTAGTTGTTTGTTTTTTTTTCATCATCATTCTACTTATGTTTTATTGTTATTATAGTTTATAGTTATATAGTTGTCTATATGTCATCCTCTGCCGTATATACCCTCTCTTTTTAATCTGAACTTATATTTTCAACAAATAAGAGTAAATGGTTATTTTTCATCTAACTTTTCTATTGTGGCCAGCAAAAAACTGGCTACCTTTTGACTGACTACATTTAGATTTAGGAATCCAGTTATACCATATTGCTGAATGTAGCTCATTTCTGGAGAGGTAACTGCTACAGCTGACATCAGGCTTCGATGTGCAGCGTTGCATGTCATTGGAACCACATTTAGAACAAGGAGAGGTCAGAGGAACTGAGTATAGAACGAATCACAAGGCAGTGATTCTTACTGAGGCTCTGTTTTATCCTCACTTATACTCTGTCCAATTGCAAACATATAGAGGCAGTAGAAATCTTTGCTCACATTAAACATTTTTTTAAAGCCTTTGCTTTTATTACTAAAAATATAGTGTGAAGGAGAGTCTGGGAAAAATATGGCACACATACATGGGAACAGGTGCTATACTGGCTAATCACATTAGGACAATAAACATGTGATTTGAATGCAGACATATCAGTGTCAGAAGGTGAGGTGGATGCCTATATTCTGTAAACTGCAAACTCACAGGAATTGGGAGATTTGCATTAGGCCAGGGGCAAAAAGGTTTAAAGTTGTATATAGTGATTTCTCCTTGCCAGTCTTTAAGCCGGGAGTGTTTAGTCTGGATCAGAGTCACTTTGTTGTTTGGACTCCACAGGCTGGCTGACCTTTTTGAAGAAAGGTTAATTTTTCTTTTTAAGCCACTAAGGTAAATTGTAGTAAAAGCTGATGAATGATTTAGAGGACCTGATGCTTAATTTAGATTCCTTTCTCCTAGAAATAGACCTACAGACATTGAGTATGGTGATTGCCTATTAAGATTTGAATAGATGTGTTTAAAAAGCACACTATACCAGAGATTTATTAGAATACAACACAGTGGCATTGTTAGCAGATCATTAGACATGAGGAAGGATTTGCATGTGAAGCATCTTTGAGCATTTCATTGTTACCAGTTATGTCATTCATTCAGTAAGCTCTTTTTGAGCACCTACTCTGTTATTTCTGTTGTCATTGGCACCAGCCAAACAGTAATCTGTAGTTTCAGTAAATGCGAGAGGCTTTTCTTGCAAATACTCATTATGGGACATTTGCTTTGTTGGGGTTATGTCTATGTGTGGGTGCACCACTTAGCTTAAGGCTAAGCACCTGATTTAGTGAATTCTTTTTTGTTTTTTTAATCAAAGTATAGTTGATTTACAATGTTTCAGGTGTCCAGCAAAGCGATTCAATTATACATATACATACATACATGTATATATTTCAGATTCTTTTCCATTATATGTTATTACAAGAAGTTGAATATAGTTCCTTGTGCTGTACCTGATGTAGTGAATTCTATTAAGCCTTGGAGAATTTCAGATTCTATGCATGATGTGGTGGTTAAATATTTTCTACACTTTTTCCTTATTTTTAAAATTTTCTTACTGTTGAACAATTTAGGGGCTATAATTGGTTTAAAGCTATATTTTCTTCTAAAAAAAGAAGAGTGCTTGGCCCAAGGCTCAAATGGAAAAAAATCTTTCTCCATGGATTGCATAAATCTTGATTACCATGTATCTTATCATAAAGACTATTAATAGTGGCTTTTACTCTGTCAACAACAGCTTATGGTCTGTATGAGTATTTAAGTAAGAAACCATTTACTGACTGAGGTTTATTTTTCTAAAGTACAGTTTTGTTACAGTATCGTCTGTTGCTCTTCATCATCTCTCTTCTCACCCTTTTTTCTTTAATTAGCATGAAGCCTGCAATCATGGGCACCTGCAGGTGGTGGAATTGTTGCTCCAGCACAAGGCGCTGGTGAACACCACCGGGTATCAGAATGACTCACCCCTTCACGATGCAGCCAAGAATGGGCACGTGGATATAGTCAAACTGTTACTTTCCTATGGAGCCTCCAGAAGTGCTGTGTAAGTCGTTCAGCTTAAAACTGTTTCTTTTCTCTGATTTACCCTTGAATCAAGGTGTGATGAAGCAAAGACTTAACTACCCAGGTTGATGGCTCTATTCTCCTTCACAAATAACGTTAGATGTGGCCATTCTATTCTGAATTTAAAATTAGCATTCATGCCCTTTTCCTTTATGATACTTTCATATTTGAGGGAGACTTAATCTTTTAATTCAGAAACAGTTGTCAAATTAATTTTGAAAGCTTGTGACTTCCTGGAAAAATTCACTTAGTTTTTATATTCTGTAGATTGATTCATACTTATTAATGAGGCAAGAATTAGAAGTGTATAAGTAACTATTCTGTGTTTCTCAATACTTTAGAATTGTTTTTAACTATTCTATTCCTTTTCTGCCTTTTCTGTATATTTTGTATAACAACAATTAAAATATGTAAGAATTCAGATCTTAGGCAAGTGTGGTCAAATTATTTCTTATATTTTCTTACATCATTCAAATGAAGCTCTGGATAAATTGTTTTGCAATGTTAGGGCACAGAGATGTATTAGTGAATGCTGGTGGCTGCCTTTTAAATTGCTGTTGTCAAGAGTGTCACAAGCAAATGCTGTATGTGGGTTTTGTAGCTTTAATCTGTGACTTGGTTCAGCCCCCCTCTTATTTTACCCTTCTCGATTAATGAACTAGTTGAAATGAAAATGCAAGAATTGCCTCTCCATACCTCCATTACTTCTCCAGGTTTGGGAGGAGCACACAAAAGTCAGGACTTACTCTGGTTACAGAGACAAATAAGGATTACAGAATGCAGAGCTTCTAGGTTGTAATTTTTTTTATAGATAATCATATAACATAATTGAAAAACAAATCAATAATGCAGGAATATACCATACCTTGGTGTGCTTAATATTCTTTATTTCTCATCACATGTGATAATTGGGGCAAACTCAGGGAATATGTATCTTCTGTTTATGAATTTTTCTGTGTTTTACAGACACATACATACATGTGTATTATACTAGGTCTACACACATACACCCCCCACACACACACACTCCTCCGTAACAGTATGCCCCTCCTGTGGGTATAGCAAGACATTTGATAGAGCAAGTGCTTGCTTGGGTTGGGTGAAACAGAATAGTTGCTATTCATGGGTTCTTAAATCTGCTGTGACCACTCTAATGAATGGAGCAGTGGTCAGGGCATTAGGGATTCCAGCTTTTATTTGTGACTCCATTATTGACTTTATAGCCTCGGGCAGGTTAGTTTCTGTGCCTTGGTGTCCTCACCAGTAAAACATGGGTGATGCCTGCTGCTTTTCTGTTTCCTCAGAGCACAGTGAAGATTAATGAGCCAAAACACAGGGCCTGTGTTATGGTTTGTACACCATGATTCTTCAGTACACTGTGAAGCTCATTAACACACAAGGTGTGGGCATCAGACAGCGAGTCCGCCTTCCCAGGTGCCTTCTCAGATAGCTGTGCTGTTTTCAGTAGGCTCGCAGAGTGGAGTGGTAGGTTCAGGTGTTCCTCTAGCCCAGCCCTGCCCAGTAGCTCCTTCTGCAGCGATGAAAATGCTCCACTCAGTAGCCACCGGACATCTGTTACTCTTCAGCACTTGAAAGGTATTGCTGCTGAGGAACTAAATCTTCAAATGTATTTTATGTAAATTAAGTAGTCACATATTGGAGAGCTGGTTGCTACAGCTAGGTTAATAGGGAAGGAAGGTTTATCTGGTGACAGAAGTTGGGAATGATGTTGGATGGAGGATAGTAAGGCAGCTAAATGGCAAATGCAGGAGTCGATTGAATCCAGGGTATCACAGTGTGGGAGCTGTTTCTAAACATTGTTACTGCTTCTTTTCCAGACCCTAGGCCATCATACTTAAGTATTTTCTGTGTCTTCTGCTTTCTTTTTATTTTGTGGTAGTTGTTGTTGACCTGATTGGCTTCGCCATTTCCTAACTGGCCTCCTTTTCAGATTACTTTCCATACAGCAGCCCAAGAGCTTTCAAAAAATACAGTTCTGGCCAAAGTGCTCATTTGCTTAAAACCTTTCACTGGCAGCTCTTAATGTTTTTAAAATTAAAGTCAGACTTAACAGAACATGGTTCGTAGGCCCCAGAGGGTCTGGCGCTCCTCGCCTCCCCGGCCTGTCTCTCTGCAGTGCCTCTTGTCCCCTTCTTCTCCGGAAGTTTTTTGCACTAGCCTTTCTAAATTTTTATTTCCTTAAAATGTGCCAAGCTATTTTACTTCCTAGCCTTTAAATATACTTTCCCTTTGTCTGGAATATTCTTTTTTGGTGGTCCGTTTCTCATTCTTTGGGTTTCATCTTAGGTATCATTTCTTTTTGGCTGGCTTTCCTGAATCCTTGTCTTTACCCGGTGCTTCCTCCCAGTCATAGAACAGAAGGTGGTAGCGCGTCCGCTTGGCACTGTCTTCTCGTTAGGTGGTGTGCGCTGTGTGCCAGGATCGTGCCTGCGGCCCCAGGCCCCACCAAGTGCCTGTCGTAGTCAGTACCTACATTTATTTGTAGAATGAATTAGTTAGTGTTTGAATGCATAAAAAGATGATAAATTTTTCCCTCTCTTGATAAAGGGTCTGGTGAGATGAAAATAGGAATTGCCTTCTTCTGCTCCCAATTTCATTGTAATTGTGAAAAGAATGTATAAAACCAAGTTCCCATAAGCCGCACCTTTTCTGGGGTGTTGGAACTGGCTCCCAGTAGATGCTGGAGTAAGTGATGTGCGCTCCCTGAGCAGAATTCGTAGCCTCCAGCCTATTGGACATCCATAGTATATACCCTGTTGTGGGATCATGGCTGCCCGAAGTAATTCCTCTGGTCTTGCCATGATAAGGTCTGTTTTTCTTTCTGCCAATGTTCAATCTGTTGTCTTTCTAGAGTTAAGTACTACAGGTAAGAATAGATGAAATCTGTTTCTGTCCCTTCCTCCATTTCTTAAGCAAAGCATGGAGGCGGGTGGTGCATGAGGCTATATGGGGTTTTTACTTTTTTTTTGCCTGAAGTTTTTGTTCCTTTTAAGCCATTAATAGCTCAGACTCGAATCTGAGTTGACAAGCATGCTTTCTTTTTTTCTCTGCTTACATCTCTTACTCTTAATGTACCTCTTCTCTCAGTAACTGGTCTCTTTCCATCCCTGGAAGAAGGGTAGGGATCAGAAAGGGCAAAGGCAATTTTTCTATCCTTCTTTAGGGCTGGGCCAACTTTGACTAATTAAAGTTGTAAATAAGTAGGGTCCTTTTGCTTATTCTAAATTTCTCAATGGCATTCTGTAGCTCTAGAACAGACATTTTGGCAGTCTTCTTCATTATCTCAAGGGTGAAGTCTTCTTTCTGTTCAGATGCCTTTTACTGGGGCTCCAGTGAAATGCTGGTAGGTTTTCTCGTACTCTTCTCCATCACTTCCTTTACTTCTTCATCTCCCCGGGTGTTTTATCTGCTACTTGTATTCTAGTAGGAGTGAACAGACAGTTCTCTCAGGGGTTTCAGAACAGTATGATACATGCCTCCGTAGCTCCATGCCCCAAGATTCTATGAAAATCTAGGGCTAGAAATCTGACTGGAGGAGGCCATGAAAGACTTTGTAGGCAAAGAGCACTTCACCTGAACTTGAAGAAAAAGAGTAGGAGGATGGGCTTTTCAGAAAGAGGAGATGGGTGCTAAGGTACTAAGGCCAGACAGTTTATTTGTTCACTTCTAGGAACTGATAGAAGACTGGAATGAAGGGAGGAAGGAGATGAGCTAAGAGGCCAGAGAAGGTAGGCAGAGGCAGTGAAAGGTCTTGTGTGCTGAAGAGGTCAAACTTTATGTTGAAAACTTTGACCTCCACACTGGGCAGGAAGCTCAGTGAAGAGGTGTGTCCAATAATTAGAGGAGTGATTAGAGTCTGAATTAAAGCAGTGACAGTGGCAGCGGAGGGTAGAGTGGGGAATTAGCTGTTTTTATCAGTTTATTCCTTCACAGGAAGTTTGATTTACTGTGTTGTTTCAAAAATACCCTTTTATGGTTTTGATTAAAATTGGAAAAGTGTATAAATTATAGTGGATTAATAAAGTTGATTTCTCTCTTGGGACCATGGTATGTCTCTGTTTGTTTAAAGCTTTCTGTTATACATTGTAGTAAAGTTTTCAATCTGTTTTATGTATGTGTATGTATATACATACAACTGTTAACTGAGATTTTTCTCCGTATTTGACCCTTTTGGGGAACTGGATTTTCTGTTAATAAATGAAGATTTGATTTTAGTGCATTTCTCTTCTATCTAGCCAACACCTAATTCTGAGGATCTCTTTGTTGTTTATTAACTTTTATTTCTTAGCATATTTGTCAGTTTCGAGAACAAAATTACAAAATAATGGTGATAATTGGCTTGCTTGATTTATTCTCATTTTAAAAATACTGACTGTAGGTTTATAAGTTAATGGTAAAATCAATATTAAAAGTAAAAATCTTCCTTCCAGTTATTTTACTATTTTTAAACAAGACTTTTATTTTACTAAAGGATTTTGAGATGGTCTTAGACTTCTTGCCTGTTTATGTCATTCACACATGTTAAATGTTACACCATGTTGGCTAAGTGTCTTATTCTTTAAACAAATACTTCGCATTAGTTTGCTAGGGTTTTAATGTAAGACTTTTGCATCTATAGTTGTAAGTTAGAATGATCTGTTGTTTTATATTTCTTTTTTCTCTCAGATTTTGATATTAAGATCATACACCTTTTAAAAAGTAATCAGGATGCTTTCCACCTTCTCTGTCTCTGGGACATGAGTGAAATGTCACAGAAATAATTCTCGCTCCCGCCCCCAACCCCTGTACACAACCTGGTATAACATTAGTTATTTTGGTAACTTTCACATTGTGTATTTGGAGATCTCTCTTAATTTTGTTACTAGTAGTTATCACTCTGAAATACTAACATAATAACAGTAGAATACAGTTACTAAAGAGAAGGTGGACTAATTCTTATCCCATTAAATTTATCCCTAA